GAGTAAATACTAAGTGTTCTTACCACGAAGAAGAATGGTAAGTATGTAATTGTTAGTTAACACTATGCTAATAAGTGGACAGCTAGAACAAGATTTACCATCTTTCTTCCTTCTTGCACAAATTTTTGTGCACCGGGCTTCTAGTCTATACTAATAATAGACTAGGGCCGTCACAACCAGACAGATGACCAGTCCAGGCAGGAGCTCTGCGCAGGTGCACTGGGCCCATCACCAGTCGTGGGGAAAGCGGAGTCCGGGTGGGAGTGGTCCAAGCACATGTGGCCGGGTAGCTTCCGGGGGCCCGGGCAGATGGATGGACCACGCTGGACAGCTCCAGTGGGCTGCGCAGAGGGCCGTAGAGGTACAGAGCTGTTAGGGCAGTGGCCTGCGGGGCCAGCGATGGTAGGGTACCATATAGGCCCCGGTCCTCAGGCGCCCCCCGGGGGAGCGTGGCCGTCCATAGTGGGAGAAAAAGCCCTTCTTTCTGGAAGAACGCAGATGGTTTAAACATGCATAGAGAAACTGTGGCAGTACCAACATGGCTATGTCAGTTCCCTAAGCCGCCTGTCAGTGTCCGACCGCAGGCTTCCCTATGTGGGCCAGGACGTGATCTTGGCAGCCAGACTCCCCCCGGTGTCACCTCGGTGTCACGACTTCACGACATCTCGCGCAAGTCGCCATCGCTGCTGGTCTGTGGGCCCCGGTGAGCCAGCACTGTGCGTGCTCTGGGCAGCGCTCTCTGTGTTTCCATTGAAAGGACACCATATGTGATGGGTGCTATTGATTCCTTAATGTTGAAATGGGGCAGCCTGAACTGGCTTACGACGCAATCTTTTCTCTGTATTTTACCGCACAGTCTTCTCAGGCTCAAGGAACCGGCAGCCACTGGTGCACCAGCTTGGCCATCCCACACAGCCAGATGCCACTAGGAAGCACAGAAATGCCAAAACCCCAACGGAACCCGTCGTGAAACAGACCCCTAGTATATTAGAACCGGGCCACTAGTATATTATAATATAAAGCTACTAGAAGCCTGGTGCACAACGTTCATGCACTTAGGGGAGAAGGATCTTCTCAGCCCAGTCCGACTGACACCATTGCCGCTGTGCTCACCAGCCGTCAGCCCGGCTTGTGGCTGAGTGGCCACTCCTCTGTGGGAGCGCACTGACTAGCAGGGGGCAACACCTGTGTTGAGTGTCTGTCCCCTGGTGGTCAGTGTGCATCATAGTGACCAGTCATTCTGCCATTCTGTCAATTTGCATATTACCCTTTTATTATATAGGATACTAGAGGCCTTGTGCAGGAAAATTTGTGCACTGGAGTGGGGCGGAGTCTCTCAGCCTGGCCTTCCCCCTCTCACAGTCTGGGAGCCCTCAAGGGATGTCCTACTGATGGATAGGCCCACTCCCCCTGGGGGAGCAGTCTGGCCTCCCTCTGCGGGAGGCGACCAGGCCAATCAGGGGAAGGCACCAGCCCCATCACCCCAACACTGCTGCTGCTGCTGCCGGTTGCTGTGGCTTTGTCTGAAGGACATCCGGCTGTCCAGTCTAATTAGCATATTGTGCTTTTATTATTATAGATATTATATAAGGTTATTATAATATTTTAACATAATGATACTATATATAATTATATATCTCATTATAATAATATATATATGACTTGAAGCCTTCCAAAACAGGCTACTCAGATTAGATAACTAGTAAATGGTAAACTTAGAACTGGAATCTTGATTTTTTTGTCTTTAAATTTAGTGTTTTTACTATTAACCATGTTGCCTCCTCCATAAAATTTTCTACCCTGTAAACATTTTAGCACTATTAATTCAGCAGATTAATAGCATTCAACAGATAAATGGTCTCTACTTGAAATGAGGTCTAGGGCAGGTGATGTGTGTGTGTGTGTGTGTGTGTGTTTGCCCTAAGTGTTTATTATGAATTTTAGACAAAGTGAGAAGTTAAAAAATAGTACATAGACCATCCATTTACTCTCTACCTGGATTCAATAATTATTAACAGTTTGACATATTTGCTTTCTTCCTTTTGAAAATATTCTTTTCAGGAATAATTTTCAGACCTCATGACACTTTGCCCTTAACTACTTCAGCCTAAGTCTCCTAAATATAAGGACACTCTCCCACACCCATATTTCACTGATAACTAACAATAATTCTATAGTAATATTTAATAGATAGCCAGTTCATAGTTATCTTTTTCCAGTTGTCCAGCTACTATTCAAATGTTCTGTAATTATCTTGTATAGCTCTTTTCTTTAGAACTAGTGTCCAGGCTAGACTCCCCACTGGCCTTGGTCATTAGGTCTCTTTAATTTCTTTTAACTTAGAACTGCCCTGACCTGCACAATACTTATTAGCCAACACAGCTATTAGACACTCAAAATGTCCAAACCGAGATATGCTTTAAAGTGCAAAATATACATCAAATTCTGAAGACTTAGCATGAAGTGAAAAATGCAAAATATCTCATTAGTATCATTGTAACATTGATTAAATGTTGAAATAAAATTTTGGCTATATTGAGTTAAATAAAATATATTGTAAAAATTCGTTTCATCTAGTTATTTTGATGTTTTTAAGTGTGATCACCAGAAGATTAAAAATGACATGTGTGGCTTGCACTGTATTTCTGTTGGGGAGAGCTGGTTCTAGAATGTGCCTCCTTCCTTTACCCCATGACATGAACTTAATGACATGTCTATGACTACTGCCCTTAGAATAAGGTAAGTATATTTTGGTGGGGAGAAAAAAGGCTAGGGAAAATCTGTAGAAAAGCCTGCTTCTTGGGATGCTTGCATAGATGCCCCAGTGGAAGGAACCTTGAAGAGTCTGCTAAAGGAAGTTGCGGTAAACACCTTGCTATGTCATGTGTGTGCTCCGTGTAGGCCAGTTGATTGACCTTTGCTCTATCTGCCTCCTTCACCTCGATTTGTATAGTGTCTGAGGATTCACTTTCATGTATATTTTGACTTTTCTTTTGTAGCTTAATGTTTATTCCCCTCCCCCCCCCAGTTTGTTTCCTTTTCTTCCTGTGCCTGCTCCCTCTAAATCCATTGTCTCAGTTCATTTTGGGGGAAGCCCGGTGTTCCTGAGTGCTGCTTCAGCCAAAAGTTCCTTCTCTCCAAAGTTCCTGGACATTGTTGCTCTGGATAAATCAGTGGGTGTTAGAGACATTCCAGACTAGAATTCTCTTTTTAAATATAATAACTTTTCATTTTTATTATAAAAGTTATATGTGTTGATTGTAGTGAAGATAAGAAATATAGATAAGTAAAGAAAACTTCTGACCCCCACCCCAATCATAATACAGTTGGATAGTCTGGCAGCTCCTGGTCTGACATTGGTTTCCTACCGCTGCTGTAACAATGACTCCTACTTTGGTGACTTAAAACAGTACTTATAACCTTCCTGTTCAGTAGGTAAGAAGTCCTACATAAGTCATATGGTGCTAAGTTCCTTCTGGAGGCTCCAGGAAGAATCAACTTGCTTAACCTTTCCCACTTCTAGAAGCTGCCAGGGCCCCTTGCTTGTGGTCCCTTCCTCCATCTCCAGAGCACAGTACTCCAATCCCTAGTTCATGGTCACATCTCCTGTTTTTTACTTTGTCCCTCTTGCCTCCTTTTATTAGGATCCTTGTGATTACACTGGACCTACCAAGTAATCTTCTCATCTCAAGATCCTTACTCTCCACCTGCAAAGTCTCTGTTGCCATGTAAATGAGCAGATTCACAGGTAAGGGATTAAGATTTGGACATTTTGGGGGTATCCATTATTCTGTCTATCACACCTTCCCAATCAAAAACACATTCCATCATCCATCTGTCTCCAATTTTGTACATGCAAATGTTTATTGTTATAACTTGAGGAATAGTGAGGAGTTTGTGTTCTTTAGTGTGGGGGGAAGAGGGAAAAGTAAAAGCAGAAAGGGAGAGTAGAAGGTTCTGTGATGTCTATTCTAGTTCTGGCTGAAGAAGTGAACTTGAGACCTGCTTGATAGATGGTGATGACAAGAAATGGATGGAACCTTTGCAGAAAGACTGTGTGGCTTTGGGCACATGAACTGCTGCTTGAGGATCAAGGGAAATGTGGTTCAGAATTACCTGCTCTTGCCAAGAACCCAGCAGACTTCTGATGTACCAGCAATGGAAGCATTGAAGCATCTAGATATGCCAATGTCACATGGACATGCTTATTCTTATGGTAGCAGTGGTAGATGTCATGCATGAGGGAGAGCTGGTAGGTGAGAGAAGGGACAGATAAATGCCACAGGTAAATTGTAGATGACCATGCATACAATGATGTCCCACTTAGAGGCTCCAAGATAGTCTCCTATGAAAGGAATGGCGATGTTAGAAGTGTGTACTTGTGTGTGTGTGTGTGTGTGTGTGTGTGTGTGTGTGTTCCACTTAGCAATAGAGTATGAGCACTTTTTTTCATGTAAGTTATTCTTTCTTTGATACATGGGACTTCCAGGTATTCTGTGTTTGGGGGTGTACCAATATGTGTTCAACTACTCCTTTCTTACTGGTGCTTCCAATTTTTCTCTATTTAAACTATGATATAAAGAACCTTCTTGAAACTTTCACAAATCCATAAATAGTTTTTGGGGATAGAACTTATATGAAAGTGGAATTACAGGATCTAAAGGGTATGGGAATCATTCTGTAGCTTTTGAAGTATGAAGTACAGTCACCTTATTTGTAAATGGGTAAAATGGAATTGGTGACTTTCAAGCTTTTTTCTCTGTTCTTACTAGCCAGTAGACTCTCCCAGCAAAACCCAGGAAGTAAATGAGTCAGAGGTGAGCTCACTCTGGTGGAGTGGTGCTGGGCTGGTCTCTTTCCGCCCCCTGTCCTCTCAGCTGCCAGGGGCTCTGAAGAACCTCCTGGTCTCTGGGGCACACAGTTTGCAGATGGTGGGGTGAGATGACCTCATGTTTCTTTCCAATGACATCTTTGTTATCAGGTGCGTTGACTGAACTGCTTGCTGGCTGTCTAGACAGCTCTGAGATCATATCTCTGGGTCCCCATCATGCCCTCCCTAAGTGGTCAGCAGGTACTTGTTAATCTTAGATAGCAGCCATTTCACAACAGGTCAGAAGCAGGGGGGATCCTGAAGGCCAAGTTGAAAGGGGAGAAACTGGGCTACACCCATCTGAGGGAGATGACTTGGGAGCCTGGATGTGACAGATGAATTGGGGGAATTCCGGTGATCCAGAACTTGGGGAATGTAGACAGGATATAATTTTAAATATACAGGCGACTTTAGGAACATAAAATATAACCTCCTCTTTTTGTACATGTGAAAAGGAACCAGAGAAGGTAAGTCTCACCAGAGTGTACACAGTAACTTAGTGGCATAATCAGGGTTCCTGAAAACTACACAAATGCTCTTTTGTCTTTACTGCATTTGAACCTTCTTCTCCTTTCCCCCTCTAAGGGGAAAAGGACGGAGGGAAGGAAAAAAACTAACATTTAAAACAGAAATTATGTGCCAGGAAATGATCTGAGCACCTTCCTTTTACTTTGTTCACCTGGTCAGGATGGGCATTATGCAGTCTTGAACATAAGATCTTCACCTCACAAGTTCAGTCCTGGATCCAGAGGCATCAGCAGTGAGTGATGGTGCTGCAATCTAAACTCACTCTCTGACTCCGGAGACCATCCTTCCCAACCTGATATATTGTATTAACCTAGAAAGGTACCTGTTATCTAAATGTCAGATTGCAGAGGGATTTGGCAAGTAATACTAAGACTAATAAGGTAAAAGATGATGAACAAGAACCTGATGACAGACAAGACTAAATAGAATATAAACACATTGATTAGATTCTAACACATTAATATTGGAAAACAACATGACCCGAAAACCTGCCCAGATCACATCCTTGGAGGTCCTCTCTTGGCATGAAAATTGGTGTTACAGGAAGTGGTGTGAGATATAAAGAGAAATCTCTTCCTCAAGCAGGTTCCTTTGGGAAATACCATCTAGTGTTCAACATTCTAACATCATCTGTGACTGGGACACCCAGGGCGCTCTTCATAAGAATGTGAAGTTTAGGTCCAAATCTCGAGTCATTTCAGAAGACTTGGTACCCAAACTGCAGGCATGGGGATGTAATCCTAAGGGGCTAGGTGAGATGAGGATAAGTGCAAAATTACCTTGAGTTTGAACTCTAGCACCACCTTTCATCCCACCCAAATCTACTAGAGATCTTGCCATGCTTTTGTGGGGGAAATTCCAAGTCTCCCATCAATATCAAACTTCTCTTGGAAGTTAACAATGCCATAGCTTGGGACTTACAGGCAGTAGTTATAAGAGAACATTAGGAAAATTTTAGAGTTTACCAATGTGATTTGGTTTCCCTTGCACAGAAGTTTTGTGACTCATGAAGTCCAACTCATGAGTCAATGGTTTTGTGGATAAAACAACCTTCAAAGTCTCTCCTTAAGTTGAATATGGCTGGAGTCCTGCCATGCCTCTACTTCTCCAGAGTGGATTCTAAGCCACATCCCTTCACCCAACTCACATAAGAGTAGATTTTTATTCTTGAAAACTACAAGCCGCTATACCAGTCTGGCATGCTCTTCACTGCCTCTTCAAAATCACTCCTCCTTCCAGGTCCAGCCCCCTGCTGCCCACTCAACACATGGGTTACTTCTTTCCTCTGTTATACCACTGATATTGTCACTAGCTGCTATATTATATTGGTCTCTAATTTTTCATGTACATGAATCCCATTGAACTCAAAATTTACACATTTCTTGAGATCAGGGAAGAGATGAGGTGAAGGGTTGGACTACCATTTCAGTGAAGAAAATGGTAGTCCTTTAGAAAATGGACCTTGAAGTCAGGCAGCCTGAGTTTAAATGCAGACACTGCCTTGATCAAGGTACTTAACTCACCTGTGTCCCAGTCCCCTTATCTGTAATGATGGTGCCTACCTCACAGGGCACTAATTGACTCAGAGAATTCATATAAAGAGCCATTAAAAAACTCACCTGCTATTATTATTTCCATATGCCAGGCACTGAGTGGGCGACTTTTCATCCACCATCTCATCTATTCATCACAAGAATTTGGTGGGCTGGCACAGTAAACACTGTCCATTGCCTGCACTCCAACCAGCTACTTCTTCCTCTTTGTCTGCAAAGTCCTGCTGCTGTTTAGGTGTTTGTCCTTCTATCATCCTATTCTTGGGGAATTGATTCTGGTCAGAGCCCAGGGTTAAGTGTGAAATCTTTTAAACCAATTATGGCATCCATCACCAGCAACTGGCCCAGGGGGTCATGTTACCTCATTTTAGCCAGTGAGGCATGAGGGCAAGCCCCGCTGCTTGGGGATGGGGGCTTGGGGAAGGCTCCTCTTTGATGAAAAAGAGGCAGGTAGGAAGAGACATCCCTCTTCTCTACTTTGGGTGTTGGACTGTCTGGATGTGTGCCTGAAATTTCTATAGCTGTAGAGACAGTCAACACAGAGAGGAGGCCAGAGCCAAGCGAAGCAGAGGCAGGCCTCCTGGCTGCTGGCACAGCTGGGCACCCCCTATAATGTGAGATGGGACTTCCCATGATTATTAAAGCTCTTGAGTCATGCCTTTTCTATAACTTGCACCCAAAGAAAGCATCCTAACTAACATTTTGCTTCCTACGTCCCAAGTGAGGAAACTGAACTTTAAAGGGATGTGCGTTATTTACTTCAACTCAGACAGCAAGTGGCCATTCAGAACAGTCTCATACATCCCCTGTGGCCTGAGCATGCAGGACATCATAGGACAAACACTTGCTTAATAAGTAAGCAGCATCTCAGGTGCTCATGATACTCACTGATCTGTGCTACCTCCAGGCAGTCCAGGAGTTGTGCTGCAAGGGCCCTGCAACATGACATGCTTCAGCAGTTTTAATGACTTCCCAACCCAGAGTGCAAGGCGAGTCTCACCAGTTCTCTTAAAAGGAAGAAGAGTGATTCTCTGAAGTGATTCTCATTTCTAGGGCAACACACTTCGCCCCATCATAGGTAACACCTGCTCTTTATTTAAATGACAGACTTTGGCAGTTACCACTTCTTAATATCGCCGTCTTTTAAAAAGACAATATTCATGCTATAAACACTGAGGAAACCTAGTTTTCCTTTTCTGCAACATGTTGTGTTGAATAGATCTTAGCATTTATCTTTACACCAAGAGTGTCCTTTAACTAGGATCTGGGAAGAAGGCATGGGATGGGGTTTACAAGAATAAAATCCAATCAGGGTGGGAGGGAAGATGGCTCAGATTTTTCTTACCTGAGGAGCCTGTGCCATGTCTAAGCAGATGCCCCTCTGAGTTTTGTTGGGTGTGGAATATTAACACGCATCTTAATTCTATGGAAAGCTAGCCAAGAGAAAAGTAACTTACAATGACATACCCCATTGTCACAGAAACGTGAGTGGGTTTCCCTTTATGTCTCTGCTCCATACAGTTCTGCCCTAGTACAGTGACCTTGACCGATATGGCCAACTATGGGAGGAGTCATGGGCCAGTGGGCCAAGATTGTAGCTGGGCACGGGACTCTCAGGATTACACCCAGGATAGCCAAACTAATTTGTAAACCCTCCTCCTATCTGAAGGAATAATTATAGGAGAGAAGCCAATAATAATAAGGGTGATAGTTAATACTTACTGAGCACTTATCACACACCAGTCTCTGTTTTACATTCTTTACATACATTATTATTTGAATTCTCACAACCTGTGTTAGCTAAACTGTCACAACTTGTACTAATTACTATATCCCTCACAACAACCAATAGTGAATGCTGTTATTATAGATGAGAAAACTGAGGCACAGAAAGATTAAGTACCTTACCTAGGGTTTCAAAGCCAGGAATTGGCAAAGTCAGAATTCAAATCCTGGTATTCTACCAGAATCCAGCTCTAATCACCACCCTCTAGTGCCTTCATGAGCCAAAACAGCTCGTGAGAAGGAACAGATGGTTTGAAAATGGTAAACAGATGGTAAAGAGCAAAACACTTTTATGAAGCGAGTTTCACTTCTCCATCTTAACCGCCTGAGAGGCAGTGGGCACGTGGGGAAAGCCCGCATGTGGGGGCACCCGGAGCCTGGTCCTGACGCGGCCCTGATGGGTTTTTAAGGCCTATGGAGGATAAGCAACATGCCCCCATCTTTTTGATATCTGGACTAACATTTCCTATGAATCATCACCACTGATGCAGAATCCCTTAGGGGAGGAGAGCAGGCGTCTGCATTTCTAACAAGCTCATCTAACCAGGTGATTCTGATGCAGGTGGTCTTTGGACCACACTTGGAAATTAGTTGAGCCTTGGGGCTCCTTTCTGTCGCTTATTTAATGACACTAGGCTACTTGCCTTTGTGGTGGTGTTTTTTGTCTGCTGTTGTCTGTAGTGAGGGGCAGGGGCAGTGAGAGAAGCAAGGCATGGGAAGTCGGGCAGCTGTGTGATGGTGCGCGGCCCACTGCTCACTGCCTCTGAGCCTTTCTTTCTCACGTGACGCAGGATAAAGGAGACCAAAAATCAGGAGCATGGAGTGGATCGCTGCTCAGTTATGTCGGGGCCCATCTCTGAGCTGTATAGCCATGTCTGGTATATTATATTTGAGCTAATATATTGGAGAAAGGTTGGGTTCTAGAGAGTCCCCAATTGTTATTTTTCTTTTTGCAAGTTTATTATCTGTTACTGTGATTAATTGATTATAGCAAGAACATATAAAATGAGATCTACTCTCTTAACAAAATTTTTTGTGTTCAACACAGTATTGTTGACTATAGGCACCATGTCAGACAGAAGATCTCTTGATCTTATATTTTATATAATTGAAACTTCATACCCATTTTCCAGCAAACTCATTTCCCCTCCCTCTGGCCCCTAGCAGCCACCAATTTGACTCTCTGTTCCCATGAGTTTGACTATGTTAGATACCTCATCTATGTGGAATCATGCAGTATTTGTCCTTCAGTGATGACTTATTTCACTTACCATAATGTCCTCCAGGGTCATTCATGTTGTCACATATGGCTGGATTTCCTGATTTTTAAAGGCCAAGTAATATTCCACTGGTCTCAGCAATAATTTCTTGTATATGCCACTAAAAGCACAAGCAACAAAAGCAAGAATAGTTAAGTGAGGACTAAACAAAAATACTAAAGGAACCCCAATTCTTAAGTAACTTATGTAATATAAATTAGAATTATCCCTTGCTTTCTTCAGTGCTCCAGGTGTCTCTACCAATGAGTTAAAGATGGCTTAGGAGTCTTAGTCCCCTTGCAAGGAAACTTCTTAAACTTTATTTACTGTTAAAGCTGCCTCTTTTTGAGAGTCAGCATGATGTGGCACCTGGTCTAATTTTAGGTGAAAGCCCAGAACAAAGGAGGGAGAAAGAGTTTAGTGTTAGCTACCAAATTGTGGAATCTCTTCCTTACAGAGTAATTTTCTAAAAAGATAAAACTATGGCTCATACAAATGTAGAAAGAAGTCATGTCAAATAACTCATGAATATTGAGAGAACTAATAAGAAATTACAACTAGCTCAAATAAAAAGTCAGAGACCAGTCATTTACGTAGGCAATCAGAAACACTGCTTTTAATTTGCTAATAGATGCAAAAACAGCCTGTTTCACAGGTGGGGATTAATTGTAATTTCACAGGACAAAACTTATTTGCTTTTTTTATGGACAGAAATCATTTGCATCACTATCAGTTCTCCACAAGTTGAAATCTGTCTCTACAGAGTTGCAAAATAGTTGAAGACCAAGAAAGACTTAGACTTCAATGTATCAGACATCCTTGAGAGAGTCCTTCAGACACTAGCCTTCCATGGTAAGGATACTCAATAATCAGTTTGCTCATTTCAAAGTTTTTTTTCACAATTTTTCTTGTGCTTAAATCTGCAGAGATGCTAAACATCCTTTGAAATCATGGCAGAAAACACCAGGTAGCACTAATTTTCCCCCTTACAACAACATTGTTATGTGGTTGAAAACCAGTTAAAATGTGCACTTAGTTCTCCTTGAAACCTGCACAGGGCAGCTCACTGGCTGACTTCCCTGCCTTCCACTGACCACCTCATGCCAGTGACTGAGCCTGGATGGCTGTTCTGATGTGCCTTACCCACCTGGCACTTTCTCAGGGAGTTCCAAGAAAAAAAGGATGCTGTTCAGCGTATCTTTAGTTATCCTAGGGCTCAAGGATATATAGGTAGAGCAAGGGGGAGGCAATATTCAGAACTCAATTTCTTAGAAAAAGAATAAAGGGGGCTGTTAGAGGACAAACTTGGGGTGTGTGTGTGTGTGTGTGTGTGTGTGTGTTGATAAAAACTTTCACCCTTACCAAACTTTAGGCTCCTCTCTGTGAGCCCTCTGACTTTGGACCTTGACCTGTCTTGGGTTTGTTTAGTGCAGTTTTAGCAAGAATCCTGCTAAGTTATTTTAGAAAGAATCCCCTCACCACTGATATCTGATCAAGATCTTCATCAACCACCTTTAACATCCAAGTCCTTGGCCTGCCTCCAGCAAGAATCCTTGTTGGTCAGTTTAGCAAGAATCCTCCTCCCCTTGATGTCTCTTCTTAGTAATTTTCTACCTACCGACCCCTTCCTTCTGCTTCCTGGCTATAAACCCCCACTTGTCCTTGCTGTATTTGGAGTTGAGCTCAATCTCTTCCCTACTGCAATACCGCTACTGCAATAGTCTTGAATGAAGTCCTTCTTAATGTTTTAACAAGTGTCAGAATAATTTTTTTCTTTAATAGTGTGTATGTGTGAGAGGGAGAGAGGGAAAGAAGAGGAGAAGGAGAGAGGGAGAGAGGGGGAGAAAGGGGGAGAGAAGGGGAGAAAGGGGGAGAGAGGGAGAGAGGGAGAGAGGGAGAGAGGGAGAGAGGGAGAGGGAGAGAGAGAGACTTTTCCAGAGGGAGTAACACCTCTCAGTGAAGGGGACACAAGGACAAAGAGTCTGGGAGGAAAAAGTAAAACCAGCCTTCCCACTCACTATACTGTCTGTAAAGGGAATTTACCCTTCTCATCAGTTTTTTAATCTGTAAAATGGAAATAACAACAGTACTTATCTCATAACATTGTTATGTGAGTTTACTAATATTATTTTATACAATATCAACCATATTGCCCTGGCCAGGTAGGACAGTTGGTTGGAGCATTTTCCCCAATGAGCCAAGGTTGTGGGTTCCATCCTTGGTCAGGATACATATAGGAATTAATCAATGGATGCATAAATAGGTGGAACAATGAGTTGATGTCACTCTGTCTGTCC